GTCACTACAAAGTATACCACTTGGGGATTACAACTGTACTATCGGTGGTGGGTAATCGCGGGCTGTAGTGGCCTTTGAGTGAGACCTGTTTCCTAATATGGTGGTATGGAAGGGGTCTAGATGTTTGAAGGTTATCTGACGAAAGTCCTCCATGAAAGTAGTAGTGGTGAGGGGTTATAATAGTAGCCATTACAGTATCATGCAACGGATTAAAGGACGAGTAGGGTGGTGTTCAGCAAATTCGAAGGCCTTCGGGTCCCTGGGATAAGTCCTTGCGTTTCGGTTGTGGTGTTGAATTGTCCCTGTTAAAAGGTAACGGGGATGGTTACATCATGGCTTAGTGAGGATGATACAATGAACGACCTACCTCCATAGCCTTCAATAGAGGGTGCGGAAAGTAGTGGCCACTAAACTTACAAAACACTTGTAAAATAATCACCAAATATGACGCTACAACCAATAGCGTGAAGGTACAGGGATTAGTGTAGTTGGACTGCATCATTGTGATTTAGTGTGTACGGTTAGGCCGCACATTTCAACTAAGGGTCATGGTGTCCTTCTAACGTTCCCTATGAGGCCATTGGCATGTGCGCAGTCCTGTCCTTGAGGTCACTACTATACCTTGGGGGGGACTTCCTGTCCGGGTGGTCACTCTACAACACCACTTAGGGTCAGTAATGGCTAGATGGTCATCCTAGATGGTAAAGCTGAGGGTGCAATGTCTTAGTGATAGTTTGACCTTCTGTTAGGTCTTAGACCAACCACGGTGTTCGTGCACAGAACATATAGCTTAGTGATTGGGTTCGATTCCCTTCTCTGATGGGCCCTGGTTGGTGATTCCTGGTGGTTGATACCCACCATAAGGGATGATCCTGGGTAACACCTACAAGCTTACTGTCCAGGTGGTCACTACAAAGTATACCACTTGGGGATTACAACTGTACTATCGGTGGTGGGTAATCGCGGGCTGTAGTGGCCTTTGAGTGAGACCTGTTACCTAATATGGTGGTATGGAAGGGGTCTAGATGTTTGAAGGTTATCTGACGAAAGTCCTCCGTGAAAGTAGTAGTGGTGAGGGGTTATAATAGTAGCCATTACAGTATCATGCAACGGATTAAAGGACGAGTAGGGTGGTGTTCAGCAGATTCGAAGGCCTTCGGGTCCCTGGGATAAGTCCTTGCGTTTCGGTTGTGGTGTTGAATTGTCCCTGTTAAAAGGTGGCGGGGATGGTTACATCATGGCTTAGTGAGGATGATGCAATGAACGACCTACCTCCATAGCCTTCAATATAGGGTGCGGAAAGTAGTGGCCACTAAACTTACAAAACACTTGTAAAATAATCACCAAATATAGAGGGTTGGTCACCCTATCTCAGTGGTTAGTCACTGAGACCCTCATTAAGCCTGAGTATGGTGAGGTCGCAGGTTCGATTCCCATGACCACGGAAATAAAAAGAATTTTACTGCGGACGCTACAACCAATAGCGTGAAGGTACAGGGATTAGTGTAGTTGGACTGCATCATGGTGAATTAGTGTGTACGGTTAGGCCGCACATTTCAACTAAGGGTCATGGTGTCCTTCTAACGTTCCCTATGAGGCCATTGGCATGTGCGCAGTCCTGTCCTTGAGGTCACTACTATACCTTGGGGGGGACTTCCTGTCCGGGTGGTCACTCTACGATACCGCTTGGGGTCAGTAATGGCTAGATGGTCGTCCTAGATGGTAAAGCTGAGGGTGCAATGTCTTAGTGGTAGTTAGACCTTCTGTTAGGTCTTAGACCAACCAAGGTGTTCGTGCACAGAACAGGTAGCATGGCTATGGGGTTCGATTCCCTACTCCTTGGGTCCTGGTTGGTGATCCCTGGTGGTTGATACCCACCATAAGGGGTGATCCTGGACAGATGCCTGCTACTTCCTGTCTGAGTGGTCACTACAAAGTATACCACTTGGGGTAAACAACTGTACTATCGGTGCTAGGTAATCGCGGGCTGTAGTGGCCTTTGAGTGAGACTTAGTACCTAAAATGGTGGTATGGAAGGGTACTAGATGGTTGATGTTACCTGTCGAAAGTCCTCCATGAAAGTAGATGCTCTCTAAAGGTCGTTAAATAAATTGAGTATCAGTATCATGCAATGGGTATAGGATGAGTAGGCGGCGTGTACCTAGCTTCAGATCAGCCTAAAATGGCCCGATGGGGGATGTCTTCTATAGTGGTGCTGTTACCTGAGGAATTAAGT